GGCATTTGACAGACAAACGACAGACATTGATTTAAAAGCACTTGAGGCAATCAGACCAATTAACATGTCTCCCTGATGCGAATGGAGACAACGTTGCTCTTTTTGTCCCCTGTAACCGAGTGGGTTAAGAGTACATCGGCTGATGAGAAATACGTCCCAGATCCTCTGAACCACCATAACTTATTTTCATCTTTCGCAACATGACTTAAGTAAAATATAAATGAGAGTGCTTTGATGTACATGAGTGTTCTGACTTTGATCCCTTCTGGCGAGTGATGTTGCTGCCTGATATCGCCTGTTTAAGTTCTTTCTCGATTCTCCATCCATTTAAGGATACGCTGTATTCTGCGGTTTTTCATAGGCATGATCAACATACCTGCAGTGGCCCTTGGGATGTTCTCCGGAGGGGTTGTGATGAAAAAGTACAAGCTGTCTATCATGGGAGCAGCTAAATTTGCCTTTGGGACCTCTCTGCTGGGCTACTTTCTGTCACTCCTATTCTTTGCCATGGGCTGTGAGAACGCTAAGGTCGCAGGCATCACAGTTTCATATAGTGGGTATGTAATACCTTTGTATATTTTCCTTAGTGGACTTGATAGCCATCAAACCAGGAAGTAGATTCAGAGAAAAAGGGATTGGGGTTTTATTTATTTAATCTGCCACTGTTTTTAATTCCATGGCTCGTTTTTCTTGTCTGATCGATGTTTTAAAAGGGCTGACAATCACATGCCTTTTTTTGTGTCACATGCAGACTGGGGGGCTTATCTTATCAGGAGCAGTCTCTCATCTCTGACTGTAATTCGGATTGCTCGTGCACAAGCAGAGAGTGGGATCCAGTGTGTGGAGAGAACGGGATCACCTACGTGTCCCCGTGTTTGGCTGGATGCAACTCCTCCACTGGCTCTGGCAAGAACACGGTCAGACACACACCACTGCCCTCATGAAACTTGCATGCTTTTCAGTAAACACAGCATGATATTCAGGCTTGATTCTCAATTTTCATTCATATCGTACCGCAGAGAAGCATGTGACATTTCCGTGATTATTTACAGACAGAACAAGTGTTTCCTGCTGTGCCGCAGCTCATTTATCACTGAGTCACACCTTGTTTTCTTTTCTGTCAGGTGTTCAACAATTGCAAGTGTCTCGCGGTGGCTAATACCCAACCAGGCAACTTGACAGCCAGCCTGGGTCAGTGTCCACACAGGGACAGCTGTGAGAAAGTCTTTCCGTACTTCCTGGCTATGTCTGTCCTCAGTTCCTTCATCATCTCTCTTGGGGGTACACCTGGCTTCATGCTGCTTGTCAGGTCTGTCATATTCTGCTTTTGTGCCTTAAAGCCACTTTTTGCTGTAATGTTGTTTGTATTGTTCTGAAACATCTCCCTCTAAGAAATACAAACATCATTCTTTCATTGTCATTCTTTAAGTGTTGCCAGGTTAAAAGTTGAGTCCTGTCTAATACCACAGTGTTGTTTCTAAAGGTGCATTAAACCTGAGCTGAAGTCTCTCGCTCTTGGAATCCACACCTTGGCCACTCGTACCCTTGGTGAGAACCACCTTTGCTGTTCTTGGCATACATCACTGTCTACTTCATTTACATTTCAGGCTCACAGACATTTCCCTTAAGCTGACTTTCAGCATAATATATATAGTGAGCACAGTTATTGGAATACTGTTTGTTTATAAGGATACACATTTGCAGATCACCAATAAAAATTACTTTTTATGTTAAATTAACCCAAAGTATTTAGCTTAGTACGGCTAATTATCAGTTTAGCTGTATAATTATTAATATTCAAAGTTATTGTAAGGAAGTCTGACTTGTTTAGATTGTAACGTGTGTTCAGGCGAACCGTGATTTGACTTGAAATTCTGACATAAGTTACTTTATATGTTGTAACTCAGCTGGAATACCTGCCCCTATATACTTTGGAGCCATAATTGATACGACCTGCCTCAAATGGGGATACAAGATGTGTGGAGGAAGAGGAGCTTGCAGAATATATGACACTTCAGCTTACAGGTACTTGTAAGATGCCTTTATTTTAACTTTGCATGCGATTTCTGTGGGATTGGCTATCCTTCAAACTCTTGATTTAGTGACCCTGTAATCAAGTTATGTGCAAGTTATTACGCACAGCCATGAGTTATGGTTGATTTATTTAAAATGCTGAACCCATAGCAGATCTTAAATGTACCGCTGGAGGAACAGTGCATTCAAAATAAAAAGTGAAGAACAATTGTTAACAACTGTCAGACCAGTGATTTTAAACACTTTCTGGCATTGGTTTCTTTTTCTTTGTATCAGCTTCAGACACCAAAACAAGCGCATGTTCATTTTTTTTTAATCACTAATGATAAAAAGGGATTCAAGTTCAATTCTACCTAAGTAAGGATTAGCATCAGAATTCTATCAGACATTTTCATTACAAAATAATATTGATTCATTCTCCACCCCCCCCACCCCCCACTGCACCAAACTACTGTTGGGGCTCTGCCCATAATCTGAAAACCACTGAACTGAACAGTTTGTCACTGAATGGAGTCAAGGTGGCAATGACAAACAATTTGCTTGTTTACTGTGAAAAACCATTGAAAATGACAAACCTGGTTCTGTCTGCATCTACATGTTTTCGTATTACTCTTACACTTTACTCTTAATGTTTTTTTCAGGGTGGAGTGATTGTACGGGATAGATTTAATACATTTAAAAAAGAAAACTTGGGTGCACTCGTTTAAATTTAGTTAAATCATTCACTTAAATCTTTTAATAAGTGGCTCTACAAAACCTTTTAACTTGACGAGGCCAAGTCCTGTTAACTTCTTGTTAATGATCAAGATTGGCTACAACTGGTAGTTTCTTTTTGAACTCCTAACCACAAGTGTGCATTGAGAGTCTGCCCAGAACCTCACAGAATTAAAACAGAAATTCAGAATTTCCTCCACAAATAGTGATGTAGTTGCTGAGGAACAGCAATTTAACCACAAAGTGGCACGGGCACTCAGCAACCCTGCTTTTATATTTCTGTCTCTCTTCCACAGCATGCCTTTTAGCCTGTCTTCCTTCTCTCTCCCCAACCGATCGCGGCAGATGGCCGCCCCTCTCTGCCGGAGGTTTCTTCCTGTTAAAAGGGAGTTTTTCATTCCCACTGTTACCAAAGTGCTTGCACATAGGGGGTCGTTGATGGTTGGGTCGTTCTCTGTATGTATTATTGTAGGGTCTACCTTACAATACAAAGCGCCTCGAGGCGCCTGTTGGTGCTGTATAAATAAAATTGAATTGAATATAGGAACTAGAGTATAATCACTTGGCAGGCAGTTGGGTCAAGCCCCCTACTGGAAAGAAATGCATCGCAGGCAAGTATTCTTCACTTGTGATCACAACATGTTGGAAGTGTGTCTGCGTTCAGCAGCAGCTGTTTGGAAACCTTCACTCGTCTTTCTGAGACTGATTGCAGTCGGTCCAAATTGAACTGCAATTCTTTGACAGGTTGCTTCCCACCAGGTGACCGGTGCAATCGCTTTGTGACAGAAGGTGGTCATCCTAGACGTTGAGGGTGTTGCCCACCCTCTGGGCAACCAGCTGCAGTAGTTACTGCAACTACATGCAAAATGCAAAAATAGTTCAGTAACATCCCTGGGCTATTACAGATTTGACCTTGTCACAGTCAGGTTTACTGCTGTGTTTTAACGGTAGTGCCTGAGAGATTGCAGTTTTGGACCAAAGTATTTTGACTGTAATAAATAAAAAGAGCAGTAATTTTACCTTTTCTTAATTTCAAGTCCTGTCTTTAGTAGAGAGCTAAGATTGTGGCATTACAACATCTTCCAAAAGGACTAGAAGAAAATGCTATTTATACAACTTTGAATGGGAAAAAGTCCAGTAGTGACTAACCTTTAGGGATTTGTAGCTTCACTTAGAGCTGGCCTAAACCGTGACGGAGCAGTTCGTACTCTTAACTGTTGCTTTTTTTTTGTACAGGAGAGTCTACCTGAGTCTGACTTTGGGCTTGAGAACAGTCTCCTTCTTCCTTTGTATTTTGGGATTTGCTCTAATCAAAAGACATATTAGGAAAGAAGAAAAACATGTGCTGACCAATGGGAGTGCAGAGTTGGAAACACTGAGGAAAGAGGAGAACAGCTCTATACATTGTGAGCAGTTTGTACTGGCCTTGGACTGCAATCCCGACAGAGAAACTCGCTTGTGAGCCTCGGCGCATCTTCTTTTCTTCTGACTCTGCCCGACGAGCACCTCACCTCACATGTACTGAGGAAGACACACTGTGGACATTTTTCATAGCACACAGAGTATATATATTTGTAAAGGATTTGCGTAGATGTACGGTATCTGAAATTAGTCATTTTATAAAACAGTCTGATATTTCTGGAATGTGTATGTGTTTGTGTTTTTCATGAATGGAAGACTTTCATAGAAAAAAAAAGATTGTAATTGTGTTGTATTTTCTGTTCTTCATTTTTATGATTAAACGTGATAAAATCAGATTTTGCATTTTAACATTTAAGATGCTTGAATATGATGGTTTAACACACCTGTTTGTGCTGTGCTCATGGCTTTGCTTTTAGTTCATGCATGCACAGGTCTCTCTAGTGTCTCTCACACCTGGATTGCGTTTCTACTTGAAACAATTGGTCAAGGGGTAGATCAAAGCTTGAGCAACAGGAGTAGCTCCTTGAAAGGGTATCTCCTTTCCATACAGGGTAAAACCCATCACTTCCTGTACAGATATAAGGGGATGTATTCAGTGACCTAACTGTGCCTTACAGTATGAAATTAAATAGCACAAATTCCACAGCTGTTTTATTTTTGACGTATAGTGCATTTTGGCTTTCAAAGCACCTTTTCTAGGTGATTATACAATCATCTACTACAAATATACAACACTGGGCCTCTTGATCACACTGATCATAGCAACAAGTTCAGGAAATATTATTAATTATTATGAAAGTTTATTTTTCATATTCATATTCATACCATCAAGCTGTCACCAGAGTATGATACAGTATGTCAAGAGTAGGTTTGCCCTCCTAAAGTCAGTTCAGTTAGAGCCACTAGCTTAAAAGAAGATTATTATTTCCATCTTCCATATTTTATACTTGAAGATATGGGTCTTACAACCCAAGCCTTCCCCAGAGGCAGACGAGGCAGGCAGAGAACGAGTAGAGCTCCTCATACAGAATAAAGTGGAGGTGCTATTCAAACCGGCTTCCAATTTGGCAGTAAATAGCATAGATTATATGAGATTTGTTGATAATCAGCCATCAGCTGATGGCTCACAGACATCTGGTGAAATGGCATTTGTGAGCAGCTTATATATATGTGTATGTATATGTTTTTACAGGAATCTGTGCAGGTTTCTGGAAAACTAAGTACACCATTAATGCTTTCATAGGAATTACTTTAAGAGGGTAAGTAGCAGTCAGGAGCTGCTAATCAAATGAACATGATTAACTGATCAGCAAGCTTGACTATCTCTATAAGCAGTTCTGTCAGTTTGCTGGTCTGGAGCATTCAGGTGTATGCTAAAATAATGCAACAGGCTGTGAATCCCCCACAAATTAACCTCAAAGTGACACCTTGTAATGTTCACAGAAATAGGAAAAATCTAAGAGCAACATCTCAAATTACACAGCTCTCCATTCACATGTGAAATGTTCAAGTTCATGACAGCACATCCCATTACAGTGTATAGTTTATAGTGTGCATCCCATTGATGTACAATATAAAAGTCATTACAGTAACACTAACACTTTGTGTTTATAACACAGCTTAGCAGTCAGTAAAAAAAGAAACAATGCATATTCATAATGAAGAGTTACTGTAAGTTAATAGCAAGATTTGTCTATTGCACTCAGTTCAAACTTTAAACAACAATGAAGATTCAAAGACAATAAAAACAGGTCGGGTAGCAAACTAGATACAGCACACAATCGAGAGGTATAAGAAAAAAAATGTCCATGGAAGGAAGTAAGAGCTGATACTGTGTTTTAATGTTCACCGATCCTTTTTGTCTTCAGCGCTCTGAAGATTCTGTCAATTAAAAACAGGATCAATGTGGGATTAGCAGTGTGAATATACAGGAGATATTCTGTGATGTGTGTTTGTCATGTATTACCTGGAGCTGATGGTGTTCTCTGAGCAGTCTGTCATACTCCTGAGCCAGACCTTTGGCTTGTCTCCTCATTGCCTCGATATCAGCATCAGACTTACGAACAGCTACACACACATACACGCACTTAATGATTACAAATTTGGACTACATATCATAAATGCTTTTCAAAATGTATCTATTGTACAACCATATGACCAAGAGACCTCTTTGTCTACATGCTCTGCAAACGTAGGTGCAGCTTTCCATTAACGTATTTAAATTAGGTCGCTCACCCTCCTCGGCAGTCTTCAGCTGACCCGCCAGCTTTTCCACCTCCAGCTTCAGCTGCTGCTTTGCTGCTGACATGGATTTTTCCTTTTCCAGGAAAGACTAAGCACAAAGGATTCTCCTTAGTTACTGAGCTTAAGCTGATTATTTAAACAGCAGATGACAGAGCACATGTTAAGTAGAAAGCATAGGAAAATGAAATCACAGCATGGTGTGTGCCTACAGTATGCTAATGCGTGGGCATGACCCAGAAACAAACAAACAAAAAAAAGCAAAGTAATTTTTATTATGTTACTTGACAAAAAAAAGAAAAAGAATTTTTAAAAAAATTAACTCTGTTTCTCACTTGCTTGAGGGTCAGTTTGTCCTCCTGCTGCTGCTTAGCTGCTCTCACAGCATTGTCTATTTGTGACTGAAGACCTGCGCTGTCCTCCATGGTGACAGCAACCTGGTTTAGCAAAGTGGCAACCCGACGCATCATACTGTGTTGAAGTCACAAGACAGAAAAAACACAACAAAATAAGACAGTACTTCAACACGTGTGAAGGGTGTGCAGATGGAGCAAAGTAAGTGACAAAATTCCACTAACAGCCAGAGAAAGAGAGAGAAGCCAGATATGTAGAGGTTCCTCTGGGCTCTGAAAAGCTTCATGTGGACGTGGTCGTACACATTTGGGTTCACTTTAGCATCTTGCATGGGCTCAGGACCGGAATACTTCTGCACCTCACGTAAAGCGTCTGGAAGGGTGGACAGAAACACGACCAAGTGGGATTTGAATACACTTGCTATTATTTTTTAATATCTGTCACACAAAGGAGATTATGTCTGACTCAAAAAAGCTCGCTTACCCAGGAAAAGAACAATAAGGACCATTATTATTGTAAAAAAGCATTTATTCCAGTAAGGAGATAACCAGCTCCATATTCGCCACCTGAAAATCAAACGCCACCTGCAATGTAAAGGTATAGACGGTCTGCTGGGGAAGGATTTGAATGCACTCTACTGGCTATTTGTGTGAACTGCCCATTTGGGATGATATTGGGATTTTTAATTATTTCAGAAATTGTGCTCCTTAAAGCAAGTATCTAAATAAGCTTTTGATGACTTATGATATGCTTTTAAAATTGCCTTACCGCTGTGCTGATATTAAAGGCACACACAAAATAAGGTTGACTGTGATCTCTGCATACAGGAAGAAAGCCACCACCGTCCACTGGACAGTCATTGCCACTGTGATTCTCTGCAGAGATAAGCACATTGATCTATGGGTAGTGTTTTATACTTGTGGAAATCTGTTTTGCCTCCATTGACGAGAGCATTTGTCTGATAGATACTAGCTTTTAGATTAAATTACTCTATTAAACAAGCGGAAGTGGGTGTGAAAGTGGCCAAGTATTCCTCTATTTTGATCTAAATTTCGTCTAGGAAACCAGGCACCACGCACGAGTTTCTGAGCATGCATATAAATGTGTCTACAGGCCTACAAAGCAGGCCAACAGTAGCAGCTATTCGGCTGTTTTCTCTATATGGGACATTTATATCAACATTTATACCAAGTCATTCATCACCGGCTGTTCTGAATGCTGAGCTGGAGCCTACAGCGAAATATAAATCTATGCAAAGCAAAAATATAAAGTTGTTGGCTTACCGGACAAAGTTGTATGGTGCAAAGTAGGCTACTGGAAAGTCCAGACGAGCACACATGCGCGCACACATTCACGACAGCTGCTGGGGAGCCTCAGAGCACCCACAGCCCTAAATAAAACTCTGCCGGATGGCCTCATTAGGGAGTCCCCTTTGGATTGCATCAAAACCCTTAAAGTGATCAAAAGATTAGTTTTTAGTGACAGAATGATTTCAAGAAGTTGTTTTTGTTTGCCTTCATAATGTTACTGTACAAAAGAACTACCCAGTGATCATTATATGATTATAGCAAATCATTAAAGCAAATATAACTGATGTTTTTCCCAGATATTATAATGAAAATAAACGGAATTCATATTTGCACTTCGGGTATAAATATGTTGGCTTTTCTAAATGATTTTTCTTTTCATTGAAGACTAGAAGGCCGTCCAGAAGGGGGCGATGTTGATTAAAGTTAGCTGTTGCAGAGGCGCCTGGAGGAGGACGACTTGGATATCTTTTGCAAATACTGCATTAAACTCACTCCAACACAATTCCTCATGTGATAATCAAATATAAGCACATTGAAAAGTGTGGATAAACGGTTCTATTTACAAACCAACATAATGTAAGTGTCAGTAAAATAAGGAAATACGAGCTCATTACAAAAGCAAATTGATTTCTTAGTTGATAGAATTGCTCTTATTGTGTAACCTTTAAAAAGGCTTCAGATGAGGGTTTTTTTTGGACATTTCTTCCTCTCAAATGTACTCAGCTTGCAAAGTGTATTCACATGGGCTTCCTCTGTGAAAGAGACTGGGCTGCTATCCTTTTTGACTGCATTTCTCAGGAGGGCTGAGGAGCAAAATCTTTACAGCTGCACCCTGTGATAGCTTTTGGAGAGCGGGTAAATGAGTATGGCAGAACTGAATGTGCTTTGATTGCGCACCTCTCCACATCATGTTAGAGGCTACACCCACTGTTTGTACTCATAATACATCTACAGGGAGGCATCCATAAACATGAAATTATGTACACACACCAAACATTTTATTAGAAACACCTGTACACCTACTTATTCATATAGTTATCCCATCAGTCAATAATGCGGCAGCAGTGCAGAGCATAAAGTTGTTCAACTACAGATCAGGAGCAAATCATCCATGTGGACAAAAAGAAACAAAAACACGATGGAAATAAAAACAAGCAATTACAGACATGATTCTGCAGGTTGGGCAGGTTTAAATATTTCAGGAACTCACAATAGAAATAGAAAATACTTGAAAAGAAAAATGGGAGTGAATGGCAGTTCAGTGGATGAAAATGCTTCGTTCAAGAGCGAGGTCAGCCGAGAACAACCAGACCGGTTTTAGCTGACAGAAAGGTGGTATTGGTTCAGATAACCACTCGGGAAAAGAGCATTTCAGTGTGCACAATCCACCTCGAGGTACAAATAAGTAGGGTGATTTGTAACACGATTGTACAGATTACAAATACATAAGCTGAGAGTAAAAGGGGGAAAAAACTCATTTGTAAATTGACAGTTTGGACTCAAGTGGTTTATTCACTCAAATGGTCCCACTTCAGCATTTACTTACAGATGAATGTCAATGCTTCACATTTCTCTTGCTAGAAATATGATTAAGCAGTTTTTATTAACAGGCTACGTACCACAGGCTTTTAAGGTGGCAGTAGCTAAACCATTACTTAAAAAGCCCTTAACTGATCCATCTGTCTTAGTTAATAGACAGTTAGTTATTATATTCTTTTAGTAGTCTTCACAGAGTTAACTTATTATTTGCCAAGAACTGGTTTATTTGAAGAGCTTCAGTCAGGATTTAGTGCAACAATGTACAGAAACAGCATTAGTGATGGGTACTGATAAATCTTCTTACAGTATCTGACAGTGGACTCATCTCTGAGCCTGTTAGACCTCAGTGCAACATTCAACACCAATGACCACAATTTTTTTTACTACAGATATTAGTGAACATAGTTGGTATTGTAGGAATGTTTAGCTGATTTAGAGTTTAGAAATGTGTTAACATAGAATGTAGAATTATTGTAGAGACACTGACACTGCCCTCAATGTAATAAAGGCCTGACTGTGTCATGAACTTAGGAGTAGATTGTAGGAGACCCCTCCCCCAGTTGAACTGTGAAAGGTCTCAACATTTGTAACTGGATAACTGTGGTCTGGAAGGGAGATGGGTTTTTATGACCCCTAGGGAGTCGCCTACACCCACAGTGTTTTAACTGTCACGCACACTCACTCACGTGCACACACATACACACAGGCATGCGTACACAGTCACTCACGAGCACTCACATAGACATGCGGGAACGCGCACATGTAGGCCCTCACCTGCTTGTGCACATAGACACAGACTATGTGTTTGCAGCACACCGTGGGGGGGTTATGATGGGGTCGCCTCTATAAAGCTGGCTGTAACTAACAAAGGGGTGAAGATTTTGCAGAGAGTCACACCGGCCTCGCCTTCCCTTCTAGAAGTGCATGCTTAAATGAAGATGAATAAAGATGAATAAAGGTTTTGTGAAATAACTACTGAGTTCCGGTGCCGTCTCTGGAAGTTTCGACGAATAAAAGAACCGGGGTGAAACTGATTTCGTAACAGTATTAAAGGAACTTCACACTGTGATTTGTAATATATATATCTGATAGATGTAAATGGTCCTTCCCTTATATATTAATCATGGAGTTCCACAGGGTACTGTGTGGGGACCAGTTCTTTTTACATTACACATGCTTCCAATAGGCAAAATTATTAGATAAATTCTGTATGCATTTTCATTGCTATATTGATGACACCCAGCTTTATCTATCTAAGAAGCAAGATGATACAAATCTATTACTTAAACTGTAAGCATGTCTTTAAGCTATAAAGGCCTAGATGACCTGTAATGCTAAATTAAGACAAAACTGAGGTTATTGTCCCGATCCTAAAAATCTAAGAAACATGACACTTAACTTTTATTTTATAGAGCAGTACCTTAGCCTCCAGTACGACTGCAAGGAATCCTGGAGCCATTTCTTGATCAAGAAATGCACATTAAACAAATCAGTAGGACTGCCTTGATCCATTTGTGAAATATCTCTAAAATTAGAAACTTCCTGTCACATTAAACGTGATGCTGAAAAACTAGTTCATGCATTTATTATTTCTAGGCTGAACTACTTTACTTCATTATTATCAGACTGCTCTAAAAGTAGTAGAAGAAAAGGCTTCAGTTGATACAGCATGCTGCAGCAAGAACACTGACAGATAGAAAGAAAGAGACCATATTTCTCCCATATTAGCTTGTGTTTACTGGCTCCTTGATAAATTCAGACTTCAATTTAAAATGATTTTCCTCAGACACAAAGGCTTGAATAATTAGACGGTCATATTTGAAAGACCTCATACTATCTTATTTTCTTAACCGAGCACTTTAGTTGTGGCGGCCTTACTTGTGGTTCCTAGAGTTTTCAAAGGTAGAATGGGAGGCAGAGCCTTCACTTATTGAGGCCCTTTCCTGTGGAACCGGCTCCCAGCTTAGATTTAGGAGACAGACACTCTCTATCTTGAAGATGAGGTATACAACATTTTCATATAGCTTACATTGAGGGCTGGATCGAGTATTTACCTTGCAAGATAAATCTCCTAGAGGCAACTGTTTTTGTGAATCAGCAGTATATATTAATAAAATTGAATTGAATTGCAGAGTTTATGAATAGCATCAAAATATGCACCTTTTACCTTCTTTCTGACATTTTCATGTGACAAACATATGCAATATATCTTGTTTCTCTGACATTTCAAATCAAAGCTAACTACAAACAGCTAACTTGCTAAGCTTCCAGTCCCCGGCTATGCACAGCATGCGTCAGTGAATGTCAGGGAAGGCTGCCTGACATATGAGGCCCTCATAAATTTCCAAACTGATATATTTGAAAAACAGAATTGTTATTAAGCTGTAATAAAGAGACAAATATGTCCATAGTTTTACTTTCAGTTACAGGTAGACTTACCCATATTGTAAATGGTTATGGAAGGTCACAAATGTGTTTGTATTCACTGCCGTTCACTGACTTTGGTGACTTCTTGGCAAAATTGTTCTGTGGTTGGTTACAGTTGTTATCAAGCTGATGATTTCAGCTCTCTCTGAGATTGCTTTGTTAAATGGGACATGTTGAGAGTCATTGATGCAATATTGAAGAGCCACGCCAGCCTCACAAAATCCAGGGTATTGTCTCCCCCAGCTCTTTGTCCTTACACAAGGACGTGTCATTTGGGCTTTAGATTTCCTTAAAAGTGTACTTTCCTGCCTCAATTTCCTGTCATCCCAAGCCAAAGCCAGCATTTCCTTACCTTTGCTGAAAAACAATTCTGAGGCACATTTCGCACAGCTCCTGAGAGCTTTTGCTTTGGGAACTACAAAGATTTTTATTTTTCCCCGGTACACTGCTTTCTAGACTAACAGCCACAGTTAGTGTGATGTTCATATTTCTGATTCTCAGGTGTAGTAAGCACACGGGTTTTCAGTACATTACAACCATAATAATTTCTTAGCTAGCCTATTGTCATCAATAACAAATCACAACTGATTAAATCAACTTAATTGCAACATCAACATATAGCCTACATTTGCAGGTGTAGAAATCTCACTGCAGTCAAAAGCCTCGAGTTATCCAAACTCATCAACCAACTATTTTGGGGGACTCCCAGAGCTTTTACTTGCCTTCTGTTGTGTTTGCTTTAGACTTAGGTATTTTAAAGACACGGAACTGTGGTCTCATTTGCATACACCTATGCAAGTGCCAAAGTCACAATCTGAACTATTATGGGCACTGAATGTGAAAGACTCCACTAAGCTAAGGACTCAGGTCACTGTCTCTGCCTTGGTTCAAAGCTACAATCTTTATATTTATAGTTAAATATAAATGTTTGCTAAGTTAAAAGACTTTATGAGATTGGTGGAGTGCAAAAGATGTGCAAGCTGATTGAAATTATGTAAAAATACACAAAAAAAACATACATGCCTTTATCCACACAACAATGTAGAGAGAAAATGAGCATTAGTGACACATAGG